TTATATGCAGTATGCTTATTCTCTCTCTCTCTCTATCTATCTATCTATCTATCTATCTATCTATCTATCTATCTATCTATCTATCTATCTATCTATCTATCTATCTATCTATCTATCTATCTATCTATCTATCTATCTATCTATCTGTCTATCTATCTATCTATCTATCTATCTATCTATCTATCTATCTATCTATCTATCTATCTATCTATCTATCTATCTATCTATCTATCTATCTATCTATCTATCTATCTATCTATCTATCTATCTATATATATAAAGTCAATATTATTGATGTATTTATATTAAAGCTGAATAAATCTGATGAAAAGGAAACACATGCCAGGCTGATTTGTGAAATGTGGTGAAGTACAGGTGAATATGCATTTGGGTTATAGTTTGCTGAAAGCAAGACTGCAGGGTATTTTGAGAAAGAAAAGTGCCGAAGCCCCAAAAGTCCAAACAGGAACAACCTTAGCAGGATGGCAGCATCATCAAACCTCCGAACCGTCACTCAGACCAGAAGACGCCTGGGGGAAGAACAACCTGGTGACCATGTAGCTTCGGGAATGACCGTCCATACCCCCCCTCCCAACATCTGATTTGGTGTGAATGCAGTCATACTGTGTTACAAACTGAAGGCGTGGAGATTAAAATACATGGCTTTTACTGAGCGTCACCTAAACATAAGAGGCTTTTGTGTTGCATTGTGGGAAATGTGGCATCCATCGTTTTTTTTCTTGACCCATACAGGTACTTAAAGTCAGGATATCCCGGTGCTGATGCTTCAATTTTGAACAGTCTTCTTTTAAGTGTTACTCACTTATTACAGAGAACGTCCCCTATTGTGTCCTGAAGGGTACTGTCACCTTTGGTCAAGGGTTAAAATGTTATTTAATAAAATAAACGTAATTAATGATGTAGGGTGGATTCACTTTGTAACACAACAGATAAATGACAACCGTACTGCTGAAGTTATAGCTAAAGTCAGGATCTAAATTGAAGTCAAAGGTCACAACAACACATTTATTTTAGATTCAGCACATGAAATCCCTGGGGTTTCTGGTGAGGCTCCTGGAGGTTGAATGGAGAAATGGTCATTAATATAAACACTCAGTGGCCAGTTTATTGAGCAGAGCTCACTAAATCCAGTGCATTCTGATACAGTCCTGACAACACCTTCATGAAGGTCACAATGATTTGGAGAGATTGAAGATTATCTGAAAATGGCATTTGTGGTGCTTTTCAACTTTGCTGCATTATACAGACACATTTTTATTTATTTATCCTAGGTTTACTGATAGATAATCTAATATGCAATTACAAAGCCTATTAATCAGAGGGTGAGTGGTTTGATCCCCACCCTAGACAACATGTTGAAGTATCCTCAGACAAGGAATTGAACCCAAATTTGCTCCGTAGGCATGTCGACAGATCTAATCTTTAGATGCGAAATGCTTCATTTAGCATACTTTTGTATGCTAAATGAAGCATTTCGCATCTAAAGATTAGATTAGATTCAACTTTATTGTCATTGTGCAACGTACAGGTACAAACCAATGAAATGCAGTTAGTATCCAACCAGAAATGCAAGATGTGCTATAAAAAAAACAAGTTGCATATTATAAATACTGACAATACAGGGAGCATTGAATGAGGATAAAATCTGCAATATACAGATGTAAGTATTGACAGAATATTAACGGAGTATTAACAGAGTGCAAGTGCAGATTGTATGTACAAACAGTGATATTATCAGAAGAAATAAAAATTGCTTATACGTACAGTAACACAATTGTGCAAATAACATGTCCATTAAGTACGTTTAATCAGTGCAGGTGAGTGCAAGGATGCTGTGAGTAATGGAGAGGAGTTCAGCAGAGTCACAGCCTCGGGGAAGAAGCTCTTCCTGTGCCTCGAGGTACGGGAACGGAGGCATCTGTAATGCCTACCGGATGGAAGGAGGGTGAACAGTCTGTTGTTGGGGTGGGAGGCATCCTTGATGATGTTCCTGGATTTGCCCAGACAGCGTTTGGGGGAAATGTTCTTAATGGTGGGTTACTGGGTGCCGGTGATACGTTGGGCAGTTTTTACTACCCGTTGGAGCAGAGTCCTGCATCGGAAAGACCGCAAAAAAAGTGATTCGCGGGTGGTATTTTTTTTAACGCTTTTTTCCGGGTTCGGCTCTGGGTAAAACAAAGATGATGCGGGTCGGGTCGCGGGTGTTGCATAATAAATATATAAAAAATAATAATAATTTAGTTTAATTTTTAAATCCTCAGACCTCTCCCCCGCGGGACCGCGAATAATCATAACCTCTGCAGCGCATCACTCTGCCGCTGAGCGCGCCACATTCAAAATGGCTGAGGTGAAGCTCTCTAGTGGAGAATACAGCATTTTCAATAACACTTCCTCAAGAGCGAAATCCAACGTTTGGGAGGCTTGTGGTGTCATCCTAGATGGAGGAAATAACCAACATCCCACGCTTTTTGAGACAAATATGCAACTGCGTGTGTTAATAATTGCACGTTTTCACTGCTCATATATATGCAGGTTCGGGTCGGGTTGCGGAACTAATTGGCAATATGTGCGGGTAGCGGGGCGGGTTCGGTATTGCACGTCGCGGGTGCGGGCGGGAGCGGGTCTTGAAAATCAGACCCGTGCAGGACTCTGCGTTGGAGTGATTTCTGCTCATGGAGGCGGAGCAGTTGCCATACCACACTATGATGCAGTTAGTGAGAATGCTCTCGATGGTACAACGGTAGAAGTCCACCAGCATTCTGGGACCAAGGTGGGCTTTCTTGAGGCCCCGTTGATAGTAGAGACGCTGCTGCGCCTTTTTGACCAGGATGGAGGAGTTCAGAGACCAAGTGAGGTCGTCGGAGATGTGAATGCCAAGGAACTTGAAGCTTGACACGTTCCACTGCAACTTGAAGAAAACTGTGATGCTCCTCTCACTCCCAGGAAAGAAACTTAAAATAACGAGACCAATGGAGTCTCTGAAAAGGTTCAAATGGGTACTTTAATTAAGTAACGTGGTAATAGAACAAGCAGGAGATAGTTGAAAAGACAAAAGCCGGAGTTGTCTCTGGGAGGCTGCAGCGAAGAAAAGAGAACTAGCTGTGCTCAGCCATCTCCTTTTATCCTCCTCCGTGCTGTGAAGAAAGGGATGGAAGCAAACAAGAGACAGAAGTATTTGAATTTGATCAGACACCAAATTTATAGCATTGAAATTAAATACTTTGAAAATCATGTACAGTATCTGAATTGTTTTGCTCCGAATTTACCTATGTGACATAAAAATGTAACAATTCAAGTAGTCAAATAGTCGAATAGTCAAATTCAGATCCCAAAAATTCAAGTGAAAAAAATTCTAATGCACAATTTCGGTGTTTAAAATTCGACGTAAAAAAATGTGGTGTTTAAAATTCAATGTCCAAAATTGCGATGCAACATCATCCGGGCTACTCAGACAGGATAAGCAATCGAGCCTGAATGCAATCAAACCGACTTCTGGCCTATCAGAGCCAAGCGGCGAACTCCGGGAGTGCGGTGAAGCCCAATGCTGCAAACTGTAGGCGATGGAGCAATTCCCGTAGACCCTATGTTAAAGTGTCCAACTTAATATCAGAAAATGAACATGTTTCTAGCCTGGATCCACAAAAACATATTCTGTATTACACTGAACAAAAATATAAACGCAACACTTTTGTTTTTGCTCCCATTTTTCATGAGATGAACTCAAAGATCTAAAATATTTTATATATACACAAAATAACCATTTCTCTCAAATATTGTTCACAAATCTGAAAAAATCTGTGATAGTGAGCACTTCTCCTTTGCCGAGATAATCCATCCCACCTCACAGGTGTGGCATATCAAGATGCTGATTAGACAGCATGATTATTGCACAGGTGTGCCTTAGGCTAGCCACAATAAAAGGCCACTCTGAAACGTGCATTTTTGCTTTATTGGGGGGGTCTGGGGGGGTCTGAAAACCAGTCAGTATCTGGTGTGAGGGGTAGGATTAGGGTTAGGGGTAGGGGTAGGGTTAGGGTTAGGGTTAGGGTAATGTTGTGAATCGAGTGGCCTGTGTTCGTCGTCCATAACATACGCCTGCCCATACCATAACCCCACCACCACCATGGGCCACTCGATTCACAACATTACCCGAACCCTAACCCTAACCCTACCCCTCACACCAGATATCTTTTGTTTGTCATTCATTACATTCATTGTGTCTTCTGTTATAAACATTCTTAACACAATATTAAACAGTCATATCAACAGCAAACATATTTTTAAAGCATTTTTAAAGTGATTTCTGTCTTTATAATATTATATAATTTTGAACAGTAATATGAACAATTAACATATATTTTTACCATTTTTGAAAGCTACTTATGCCTTAATAATATTATATATAATACTCAACAGTAATATTAACAATAAACATATTTATATTCATATATATAAACATCAATATTTGCTACATCCGTGCTCTCATCCAGCTGCAGACATATCCACTACACTGAAAAAAAAAGTTCTTTGGATTTACTCGATTTGAATGTGTACATTGGTCCCACACCATGAGAATGTGTAAAACTGACACATTTTTGCTTGTCAAACCATCATATACTATTCACATCAGACCGCTAGAAATAATCATGTTGATTCAACATGATATTTTTCAGCTACTGCAATCCCATTTTATTGAGAAATGTTAAAGCAATTTCATCACGTTCTGTTTATTTAATTTTGACCTGTAATTCTAACATGATTTTTTCATGCTATTATTCAAATATATTGTGTATGTTTTAAGCCATTTCATCATGTTCTGGTTGCTAGATTTTGACCAGTACATTTTACTTGAATTTTTCATGCTAATATTATTAAAACGTATTATGCGTGTTTAAAGCAATTTCAAATATGATGAGTCTTTCTCATTCAAATACATTGCACACATAGCTTCCAATGGAGGCAAATACCAAATCAAGCAGTTCTGTATCAAAACACTTTATTGAGCTTTAAATAAGCAACAAGAATACCACTATACACACACTTCAGTACATTCAAACTAGTTCTCCATTATGTGGTTTAATTCGGGGTTTTACCCTTTTCACAGTAACAATAGAATTTATAAAATATATATATTTGTAAACAATTAAAAGAGGTGCTACAGCACAGGCAATATAGAAAAACACTGCAGCATGGAACATTGAATAATTAAAGCATGGAACTATGCTTTAACCTGAACATTTGTGACATAAAATGACCTGTGGTGGCATCAGTCTAGAAGAAATATATGAAGGAACAATAAGAGTGCACAGGCTGAACAGTTGCACAGTTCCTTAAATTCTCAGCAGGGGGGGGGTGCTAGATAAAAGATTTCAGACACATGCAGGATTGACAGGTTTCTTATAATAGAGTCTGAAACACAAGCACTAAAGACAGCAATGGTCTTTCAAATGGTCTCAGGTTAAAAACACAAGTTGTAACGAAGTAACAACAAATCCTAAAACATAACAGAGAAAAAAGAACAGATTCAATTGTTTGGGGTTTCTTGCATGCAGCAGTCTCTGAACCGTTTCACTGAAGGAGCCTGTTTTTCAGAGCAGTTGCTTTGTTTGAGAGCTTACCGCAGTCCAGTTCCATTATAATGCTTTGGACTACTTCAAAGGTGTAGCGGAGGTCAGCAGGGTAGCTGATATTCAGCGCGTACATTAGTCCGAACAGCATTACAAAAGCTAATGCTACATTATCCAGATTTGTCAAGACTTTGACGCCTTCTAGAACGATCCCGATATCCTCCGGTTCATCAGTGGAAGCATCTTTAAGAACATAAATCCCCACAGTCGTGTCCTTGATGGCGCCTTCATCTGTGTCCTGTAAACAAAAAAACGGCAAAATGTAAGCAAATAAGACCTAAAACCAAGCCCCATCAAGAAAAAATGAAATAAAATAAGGGAAGGCATAGTATAGATCTAGCCATGGCAAGTTGAACATTATAAATGAAAGTAAATGAAAGATGTCAAATTAAATGTAGATAAAATAATCAAGTAATTACAGCAGAACATGAATCAATCTGGTGATCTTTAAGCTGGCTATGCCCTACTGAGTATAACAAGTGGGACACGTCCTTGTGTGGCACTAGTTGCCGTGTTCACTTATTGGTTTGTTAAAATGCTCCAAGGTAAATATGTATGCAACTACTCCACAAGTATAATAGGAAAAGTTGCAATTCCAAATGTATTAAGTTAATTCAAGCAGCAACGATGAAATATTGAATGTAATATTTCATAATATGAAACAAAAACCACCCACTATATTTTCAATGAACAATTTCAGCCCAAGAGATCATGTATGGAAACAAAAGTGAAGAGAAGTATCAAAGAAGCAGGCAGATTCATGTACATACCACATATTCTCGCACAAGGTCTTTTGGATCTTCCCCCATGTAGATGCATAGTCCCTTGATGATAGACTCGCGTCCAGCATCTACATCATCACACTGAAAGTAAATGTACTTGATTAGTGTCTTATTACAGGTCTTGTGCTTTAATTCAAGTCAACTACTGGTGTGAACTGTCATTTGGATACATATTACTTTGAGAATACAACATCACAGTTCCTAAGAAAGTGCAAGCTCTGCTGTGAGCTCCACATCCCCATGACATCTTTCTCAAATTGTGGTCAGTGGATATACGAGTTGAATTATTATATATCACATTTAAAATTGAGATGGATAGATTGCTCAAGACAGGGTCAGTTAAAGCTACAATGTGTAGAATTAGGGTGTTTTAGCTAAACGTGTGGTTAGAGAGGGAATGGCAACGCTCTACTCAATCAGAGAAGCTACGGTGGCACTGAAGGACCAAAAAGTAGCACTGTGTGTTAGAGCTGCTGTCAGCCGGCACTCTGGTCACTTTCACTGCGGAGCTACTACACTACTGAAAGGAGAAAGATAAAAAAAGCACTAATGGTCTCCTTGGCGATGAGCACTTTTTGTGTGCCATTCTTGCAAATAAATTATGTAATAACTAAAATGTAAAATATTGTAGCATCACTTTTCACAATTCTAAAATTCGTGATTCTCAAACATTGTTTTCAAAATAATTTATGTTTATAGGTTATTCATAATTGTGAGAATCCTGTATCACTTACATTAGCTATTTGCACAATGATTGTTTCCAGCCTTCCCCCAAGCTGTCCTCCTCGCTTTTGGAACAGCTTCATCAGGGTGCCAGAGTGGAGGTCCAGCTGAGACAAGAATTTTTATTGTAGTGGCTTGGTCGTGATTCTCTTGAATTCAGAGTTGATCTGAAAATGCATAAAAGCAAAAAGGAATTTGATCATTGTTTAACATTAGGGAGAAAACAACCACCACACATACTGGAGACCAGGATGAGGTTAAAAAGCACAGATGAATTATATAAAATCAGTTACAGTATATTAGCAGTTTGCCAGTGTGCCCATGGATTTCCTTTGATCAACTTCAAAATTCAGGATGGAAAACCGAGCATGGGATTAGCCTTACCTCAGAGACTTCAAACAGAGCAGGCCACCTTGCCATGAAATCCTCCACCATTGGACCCTCACGAACAACTTCATGTCTTCTGAGTGCAAAGGTCTTTTCCATCTTGAGTTTCACAATGTCTCTGTTGTTCCTCTTCTTTGCATCTAAAAGTAGAGCTCTCTGCATAGCTTCCAGACTCTCCTCAGTTTCTGCAATTGGGTATGTTGGGCAAAAATTCACCTCGGCTCTCTTTGCCTTTTTGACGCCAAAAGCTGCACTTTTCTTTCCCACAGGTTTGTTTTTTAAGGAGTTCACTGTCACTTCTGGACAGCCCAGTTTTCTCAGGTGTGTGCGGTAGTTGGATAGTTTATACTTTAAACTGGTCTTCCATCCGCCACATCCAGTGCAGGACCCCTTCTCAGATGAACACGGATGTGTTTTGATAAGACTTTGTGCCAACTCTTCCATCTCCTTATCAGTGACATAGACTTTATACTTCACTATTTCCTGCACTAAACGATCAAGGATGGCTGACTTCAACTTCGGCTCTGGCACAGTGCCATTTTGAACATAAGTTAAGCCCTCCTGCTGAAGTTTTAATTCTACATCGTAGGAGAACTTGGGCACATGAAAAACAGCAGGCCAAGATGATCGTGTGCTCGTAGACTCAATTGACTGTACATCTGTATCCACATATCCGCTGGACAGGGACGAGGAGTCATTTAGAGCGTAATACATCTGGGGATTTAGGACTGCAACAGCAGACCTCTCATGGTCATTCAGAATAGCGGTGGGCCTTGACACATCACAGACTCTCAGAGTACCTTTTTTCCACTACTTCAGTCATTGATGTAAGGTTAAGGAATTCATTTCCAAACAAGGAGTCCATAAACTGCAGTCGGAAATTGCCCCCAAGTCCACACTGTTTCTTGACTTCATCTTTGAGGTCATCAACTGATACAGGGAGTCCATGAGGGAGAGTCAGCCTCTGAGAGCTGCAATCAGTCAAGATTATCTTGAGGATCACAGGAGTTCCCATCATCAAGACGATTTAGTCTGCATAGCTCTCACTTGCTCCAGAAGCTGAGCAGATACTCAGTTTCACTCTCAGTAGCGGCAGCTCTGATTGGCTTGAAGGGCGGTCGTGTGATTTAAAAACAAAAAAACAAAATATTAATAAATAACAAATATTAAAAGATTGGCATCAAAGGACACAAAGAAATTCCCCTTTCCCTCAAACTTTGCATGACCCCCCTGGTGGCCCCCCGGGGGGTCGAAGCCCCCACTTTGAAAAATACTGGCGTAGTCAATGCTTTAGTGACAAGGAAACAGAGGCGCGGGAAGGTATTTTGAGTGGGGGTGCTGAGGCAACCCGGTATCACGGTGAGACGTGAACATGTGACGCTTTACCATTGCTGGGAGACGTGAAGATGTCACGGTTTCGTCTTTTCAAAACGTGAAAAGCGTGACAGCTACACGGTATTGTTAACCCATGTTAACCAGTGGAGAAATAACCGGAAATACCAAGCAAATGCTACCCCGACGTAATGATTTATTTTGTAATAGTCGCACTCGATTACAGCGATTTTCTTGTTGCCCCAGCTGGTCGACACCTCTTTTAGCATAAACAAAGGCTACATTCATGTATTAAATCGATGTTAATCCGTGCGTGTGGATGTGGAATTAACGGACGTGACGTTGTGCGATTGAGTTGCCAAGCAACAGCTTCGGTTCATGTTAATTTACAAACTATTCAACTACAACCGTAGTTATATTTATGTGAAATCTGAAAACGTTTTTTAAAAATACAATAATACTTTATTCCGAGTGTTCTTGCTTTTCTCTTTGAAAGTCATCACATAACGTCATTGTAATACACGGTTTCGGCTGCATTAAATATTACATATCTGCCGTAATTCTGTATTTATAGAGCCCTGCTGAGAAGACTTCTAGACAAACATGAGGCACTGAAAACGTGACGTGGATCATAAATATATCAGTAGTTAAACAACATCTTACATTTCTTTTCACACAATACGTCTCCTTGCAGTATCAACACTAATTCGGCTGACTTTTATATTTGATCCAATTGGTAGATAGGCTGTATTTAAACCATAACCGTGCAGAGCTGATAGAAAGGGACACCTGGTGGTCAAAGCACGTTATTGAATTGTATTATTTTATTATTAGATATTAATAGGAGGATGTGCAAAACAGACAAACTAATAAGGCTTAATTTAAACATTAAAGAGTACTTTAGGTTAAGGTCTTATTTTGAATAAGAAAAAAGCTTTAAGAAGAATATGGAGGGATGAAACCCTCTTGAAACCGCAGGTCCTTCCTTCCTGCAGCGGTCAGACTTTACAACCAGCACTGCCCCTAGTAGACCCTCCTACACACACCACAACACAGACTATAACACCCCTTGCTGCTAAATACAAACCAACTTTGTGCAATATGTGCAATATATATATGCCATTAATAACTCTGTAATGTATACCTGGCCACTAAATCAATATATATGCCGTTTTGTTTTTGATCTGTATTTTTGAAAATTATGTAACTTTTTATCTTTTTTTTAGCATATTGTTTAATTTATTATAACTTAGTACTTTTTTAGCATATTGTTTATTTTATTATAACTTAGTACTTTTTTAACGCATGTAAGATATGCAACACTAAGCTGTCTGTGGCTCTTTCCTGCTGTAACGCTGCACATTTCCCCTCTGTGGAACTAATAAAGGTATTCTGATTCTTTAATGGTCACACATGCAGAGCACACAGCACACACAGTGACATTTGTATCTACAGATAAATATTAAGCCTGACAAAGTACTTAACGTCTAATATATTGCTTTCCTGCAATGTTAACTATGTTTAAGCACTTATTTGTTTATTATTTGTTTATTATTAAACTGATATTATACATATGTATTATACTCTTATAAGATATATGTAGATAGTATAAGAAATGTGCAGAATGACAGTTTAATGGTGGAGTATAAACACATATTGATAGATGTCTTGTAATGCACTGTTGAGGAACCTGCGACCCAAGTTTTTCATTCATTGCATAACTACACAGTAGTTGTGTATATGATATGTCAATAAACCTTAGCTTATAAAATCTTGAAATCTTGAAAGGGATGTTCAAACTAGTCATTATATACAGCCTTTAATGAACTATTAGTAGAGAATAACGAGTAATGAATATACTTTATAGAGATCCTATTAATATCTAATAATAAAATAATAAAATTCAATAACGTGCTTTGACCACCAGGTGTCCCTTTCTATCAGCTCTGCACCGTTATGGTTTAAATACAGCCTATCTACCAATTGGATCAAATATAAAAGTCAGCCGAATTAGTGTTGATACTGCAAGGAGACGCATTGTGTGAAAAGAAATGTAAGATGTTGTTTAATTGCTGATATATTTATGATCCACGTCACGTTTTCAGTTTTGGCGGCAGTTCTCCTGTATGTCCAGAAGTCTTCTCAGCAGGGCTCTATAAATAGAGAATTACGGCAGATATGTAATATTTAATGCAGCCGAACCGTGTATTACAATGCCGTTATGTGATGACTTTCAAAGAGAAAAGCAAGCACACTCGGAATAAAGTATTATTGTATTTTTAAAAAACGTTTTCAGATTTCACATCACATAAACACCAAATCCCAGCATGCATTACGGATAACCATCCAATCATCAAGCTGAGGATCTTGCCTACGTCTGTTTCCGGTTTCGTTTAATGACCGATGTATTTTGTTATACACACATTCCTTCACATTTACATTTTAATGTGCATTAAAGTATTTCGTGAGGCCTTCTAACATGTTTTTAAATATAACTACGGTTGTAGTTGAATAGTTTGTAAATTAACATGAACCGAAGCTGTTGCTTGGCAACTCAATCGCACAACGTCACGTCCGTTAATTCCACATCCACACGCATGGATTAACATCGATTTAATACATGAATGTAGCCTTTGTTTATGCTAAAAGAGGTGTCGACCAGCTGGGGCAACAAGAAAATTGCTGTAATCGAGTGTGACTATTACAAAATAAATCATTACGTCGGGGTAGCATTTGCTTGGTATTTCCGGTTATTTCTCCACTGGTTAACATGGGTTAACAATACCGTGTAGCTGTCACGCTTTTCACGTTTTGAAAAGACGAAACCGTGACATCTTCACGTCTCCCAACAATGGTAAAGCGTCACATGTTCACGTCTCACCGTGATACCGGGTTGGCTGAGGTGCTGGACTCCAGTGAACACTATTACGGGCACTATAGAGCACGCACAAAAGCACTCCCCACACGCAAACACACAGGACACCCGCGACTGTTACAATGAAGGCCCGATAATCAGCTCACGGCATATAGGCAGGGGTAAAGTGCTATTTTTTACGAGTGGGGAGCGTCTAGGGAGGTCAGGGGGGATGTTCCCCCAGGAAGATTTTTTTTAAATATTGAAGTTAAAAGCGTCAATCTGGTGCACTTTGAGACCAACATTAAGAGATCTATGGATACATCTCTCAACACCCAGATGAAACACAACTGTAAGCAGATGTTCTTTTTCTTTATGGATATTTTACAAATCAAACTGTATTCTTGTTTTACTGCCATATAGTATTTCATAACTGTTTTTCCTTTATTCTCTTATTTATTTTATAACGATAATGATCATATGAAGGTGTGCCGTGTAAATAATCTTTTGAATAATTTGTGACCAAACCGTTTGAGACCCACTGAGATAACTTAGACTAAAGTTAACTATCTAAACACTCAGAGAGTCCTTTAGCTCACCTGGTCCTGAGCCTCTCAGTCTGAGAGGAGAGCTCTCCTCCAGCTTGTTGTGGAACCAACAGCTTCGTATGTCCGTTAGTGCAGCTAGCTAACCAGATGCTAACAACACGGTCCCTGCTGCTGGCACCGGTCCCTCTCTCTCCCTCTCTCCCTCTTTCACACACACTAAATGCGCTATTTCCGCACACACACAGAGCCGAGCTTGAATGACACAAGCACACTTTTATTTCCATGCAACTCTCTGATTGGTCTGGTGTCTTGCCTCTGTTGCATTCACTGAACACGGGAAATTACAGTTCTATCGTCCTCTCTTGATGAGGTTCACGTAAAGCACGGTTAATGTATTATATTATGGAGGTAGAATTGTCCGGGGCTACAGAAACAACATTCGGGGCAGGCCAAAATATTATTTTACCAACAATGTGGAATTTATTGGCTACATATTACACAGATTATGCACAGCGGGAGCAGCAATAACCGTCCAATAATAATTCAGACAGGGGAGCTCCGCACCCCCTGCCTGCCGCTAGGGGGTGCTGCAGTGCCCTCAGCACCCCCCTTTTTCTCCTCCTTATCTCTTTTTATTTAATGCATTATAACGGCTATAATAGTTACTTTAGTAATACTGAAAGTACTTTACGGCAGTTATCATTTACGGTAGCCCCGGATGTCGTCATAGCTAACCACGTCTGTAAACAAAACATATTCAAATAAACTGTACCTTCATTTAATATTCAGCAATAATAATATCTCGACGTCTATAGATGTAGTGTTAAAGTCAGTAGGTTTTGGTGTGCAACACTCTGCTCTTTACATTCACATTTGTAGAAAACGTAATATTAGCCACATGCTAAATGCTAACCGGCGATGAAGGATTTTCAGAATATAAACTTGGCATTAAGATTGTGCGAGAACTTCCGTTTTTTTCAGAATAAAACAGCTTTTAAGCTGACGGTATGTTTAAACCAAATTATGCCATAAAACATTGATTTTAATTTCTAACAAACTCCGTTGATGCAGATGGGGGTGTGTGCATGGCTCCTGTCCCGCCTGAAGTCCACGATGATCTCCTAGGTCTTCTTGGTGTTAAAAGCCAAGTTGTTGTCAGCACACCACGAGGCCAGGTGCTGTACCTCATCCCTGTAGGCCGTTTCGTCGTCACCTCTGATCAGGCCTACCACCGTGGTGTCGTCTGCAAACTTTATTATGGTGTTAGAATCATAAACAGCAGCGCAGTCATGGGTGAACAGGGAGTACAGGAGAGGGCTCAACACGCAGCCTTGTGGCTAGGGTTGCAACAAACGACTAATTTGATAA